TTTATATAAAAAGTATACAATAAAATATATACTAATATATATATATATTTCTATTAATAAATTTTAATTGAGCCTTTAATGTAAACATTATTATTATTATACAGTAGTAGTATTATTGCTATTTAATACAAATATTTGTAATATACTTGTAATTAAGATAATGCTTAATTAAAATTTAATATTATAATTTTGTAATATTGTAAATATTATATGGAAATAGATTAAAATTTGAAATAATATTTAATACAGTATACAATTGTGGAAAAATACTGTAAAAATTATTAATAATTATCGTATTTGAGTTTAATTAAATATAGTATTAATATAAGTTATACAATATGGTAATAATTGTAATGATTGTAATTTATTTGATGCCAAAAGCGGATTATGCGGTCTATAGACTCTATAAGCCTTTATAATATAGTTTTAGTATTATTTGCTTTGATTACATACAGCTAAGAGGCTTATAATATATATACTTGTATTATAAATCCATACAATAAAAATGTAATACTTGTTTCAATACAATAGTTTGGAAAATCCATACAAATTATTTTGAATATATTATTATTATTATTATTATTTGTGATTATACTGAATATTCTAATATACTGTGAATCATAGATAATATTTTAAATATTGTTCAATATTATAGTCAATAGATTTGTGTGTTTCAGGAGTCTATTAGTTGTAATGTTTTTGCATTTTCTAGTTTCCCATCACTGCCTCTATTGATGTTTGAAGAGTTGAAGACTACTCGATCCTAAAAAAGTAGATTATGTGGCAAATGGTCTGTAAAGAAAACAAACACTCCTTTTTGTATGACTGTATGGGTGCGTCCCATACAAAACAAATGGACGGCTATTTTATAGGCCAAAAACTTATTGTACAATACATAAGAAAATATGCAATACATGTAGAGGACTATATATATAAATGTGTGTATGTGTGTGGTGCGATTATATGCAACTAAATATATCTCATAGACATACCAGTGTATCCACCACACTGGTTGGTATGGTTTTTATGGAGGATTCAGCACTTTCAACCATATTTTTAATACAATAGCTGGTTTCCCAATCATTTGCATCCCTGAGCGCTGTTTAAGTATGCACTCAAGCCCTACTCGATTTTAAATCCATAATATGGATTCCATATACTGTTTATAGAAATAATGTATGCATATGTGTGTGTGTGTGTGTGTGTGTGTGTGTGTGTGTGTGTGTGTGTGTGTGTGTAACAGTTTTTAACAATACATAAGTGCTACAATAATATTATAATAATAACAATAATAATGATAATAATAATAATTTTTATAAAAAAAAATGTTATATCCATGTGATTCCGAGTAGTTTCATGGGATCGGTATATTTGCTTATATTTACTATATTCTAATGGAGTGAAGTTGTTATTCAAAAGACATTTTATTGGGTATACCTTATACCCCCTCACCTCTCATTCATACACTAAAGTATGCCTAAGCTATCGGTGCGGCTGTAAAAACAACAATCATCTCAATCACATACAAAATACATTTCAATCTGTGCTTAAAACATCATTTTATTTATTTATTTATAAATTATTATTATTTTTATTATTTTCATTTATAAGTGTTTTAAAAATAATATTATATATATATATATATATATATATATAAACTGTTTCAAATCGTTTGCTTTCATTTGTATCACACAAATAAACTATAAGATTATTATTTACTGTATATTAAAATAACAATAAATTAGAAACAAATGAAAATATTTTGATTAAAACGTTTTGCCTCTCTATTTGATTGTCATTCAATTAAGGAGCTGAGAGTTTTTATTATTATGATTATTTTTTTAGTATATATAACTTATATATCTTAGAGTACTGGGATGTGTACAGTGCTGTGCACAGCCTCTTAGTTAGAAAACAATGTTAGCTGAGCTGCCGTTCAAAATAAATGTAAGGCATCATACAATCACACACACACAGTACCTTATAAAGCATATGTAGTTTTATAGCACTTAAACATATAGTAATTATAGTGTTTAGGAGGCAACACATATACATTGATAAACATTAACAAAATGAACAATACATTTATAGTTTGTACTGTATGTGTGTATTGAAGTTTATATTCAAACACAAACTGCAAACTGTTTGACTACTATTACTATTTCAATACAATATATGACATTTATAATAGAAGCCGAAAGTGTCGGTAATTATTGGCGGTCCCCCACACCTCCCCAATAACCTCCCGATATGCCATTGAATTTTTGGGTGAACTGCACACAACCACACAATAATTGTGTGATCTTTATTTATTATTTTGAGGGCGTACTGTATATCTTTATATCAGAGATGCAAAGTTGGTTTCAACTTAATGGACATTTCAATCTTTTAACGACAACAACAATAGAGAAACGTCAAACACACACACATAAGACATGTATGTCCACTAATGTATAGTACAGTAGTACTACTCAACCGTTTAGACCTTACATGAGTTTGGTTGACCCAAAACATTAATGTCAATAATGTATACAATCAACACTACAGAATAATGCACTTTATTTACTGTATTTATATATACGGTATATAATAAATACATATTTATACAGTATATGTTCAGTAGTATACAACCCCATAAACACTCTCATACAGTAGAGAAATAGATAGATAGACCCAACAAACTCATTGTCCCAAAAATAAATGGTGAGTTTAGGTCTTCAAAAATTTTGTGGTCAATCAATTCATTGATGAAAAACTTTTAACACCACAAATAATAGTGCACTTCATCTCTCAAACAACAAATTTGTTTTAAAAACACTTTTTCTTTTTGTCCATTCATTCATTCAATCAATTCATTCAAACATTCATTCATTCATTCATTTATTTATGGACCAACACCACCACCGGGAAGGCCACACTATTAAACAGTAGTGTAGTAATAGTAGTAGTAATACCTATTACTAACCAACATCAATGCTACCAGTGCTGACCAGTAAATCAACGATTCATTATTATTATGTCTTTTCCTCCATTCAGATCACACAACCATTTGAGAGATGCTTTTTTCTACGGCTAACTTCCGGTGTTTTTATTGGTATTTATTGGTATTTGTATTGTTGGAGCACTTATTTGTTGCAAATTTGTCGCACTTTTTTCTGGCACCTGATTATTACTTTTAACACTGTCTTTCCTATTTGAAACATAACAACACATTCACACAACTGACTTAACTCAGTTAGGCTCAGCATTTCAATTGATATTTGATTTATTTGTGTTAAACTCAATATACTAGATATCTATCAATAATATATATATATATCTTTACAACTATCAGACAATCTACTGTCTAAACACATACTGTATATATTATCACCAACTGAAACAAACAACAACAATGAAAAAATAGTATTTTATGAATAAATCAATAATTATTTTAGTAAATGAAATATAAAATCTCTATATTTGTATTTAAAATATTTTCACTGTAAGCAATCAGATATAATGTAAAAGTTTTAACAATAATTTTATTATTATCATAACCAGTATAACTGTACAATAATAATAATAATAATAAAAAGTAAAGTGAACTATTAGAACATTTGAACTAAAATTAAACCAATTTTAAGCCCTGCATGAATGCTAAAATTAAATTATATTTTACAGTAATAGAATATATTAGGAATCATACAAAATTTGATTAAAAATAAAGTTTTTTTTTTGAAAATGTATTATCTAAAACATTAAATAATATTTTGATAACTATTTTAAAAATCGAGAGTTGATATATAAAATAATATAGTATATGTACTATACATATGTATTATAAAATATATATAAAAAATATTTTATTAAGTATATAATATAGTGTTCCTCTAAAACCTAATAATTATCATCTCTTTTGAAGTTACCGTTTGATATAAAATATTTTTATGCTGTTGTGTTGAAAACTCAATTCAATTGTACAATCAAAGCGTATATATATTTATAATACAGTCCAATATCTGTATAATATAAAACTACATTTATATTAAATAAGAGTACAAATCCCATACAAACCAGAGCTCAAATATCAGCAGATTTTCTACAATTATATGTTTGCCAGTGCTTTGTTCACAACGAACGGGTCGCGTGTCATATATATATATATATATATATATATATATATATATATATATATATATATATAGCTAACTGAATCTAATGTCTTCATCGACACTGTCATTATGTCATGCGCTCCCGATTTCGAGTTAGTGAGTGAGTGAGTGAGTGAGAGAGAGAGAGAGAGAGAGAGAGAGAGAGAGAGAGAGAAAGAAAGAGAGATTAGCTAAGTTTTGATGACAACAGTGCAATATCATTGAATTTTGTCATCTATTTGAACGATTTGTGTTCAATATACACTACAAATATATATTATAAATATATATATATACATACATACATATACTGTTATAGTAATATACTGTATACTGTATAAAGTTTTCATACTGTTGTGCATCAAATATATGGTAACATTAACTGGTAATCTCCGCCTCTCACAGAGAGCTGGCAACCAACCGGTGCACACATCATGTATAGGTTCGCTCCGTAAGGTAATTGTTGTCTATGGGCTATCCAAACCTACCACACAGTTTATAAAAATCATTATCATCCAAATAAATATATATTTATAAAACCATTCAATCTAGAAAAACCAACCAAATGTTAAACATATACATACCGTATATAAAGTAGTTTTAAGTGAGACATATTGTTTAATATATTTATTATATATGTCATCAATATTTGCTAAAAAGTTTTTATCTGTATAACAGTTTATAACTTTAATTCCTTACAACAAATATATTAAATGCAAACTTAAAATAATTTGCTTATATTGTATTATATATTTATATATTACAACTAATAATATTACATCTGTTTATATAAATCAAAATTTCCTAATATATAATAAATAAATAATAATAATAATAATAATAATAATAATAATAATAATAATAAATATGTGTGAATCAAATAGCAATGGTTCGGCACAGGCTATGATAGCACTCCGTATGAAAACATCGACAGTTAATCCGTTTTTAGACAATCCGTTGCCAAACGAGGCGACGACAGCACCGCATATCACGTCCTCATCAGTTAATAACATCAATGCTGTTAGCAATGCATTTTCATTGGCCAATTTTGCCGGCCATCGGTTAGGTTTGCCGACACCAAACGGTAGTCCCAATTTTAATTTAGCCGACTATCAGAGACTACAGTTCTACGATTACACTTCCCAGGCATCGGTTCGCTTGCGATTAGGTCCATCCGCACCGTTCGCCAACACGGCCTACAACATGCCACCCGGTTATGGTCATCCAGCCTTTGCTGACGGCACACCGTTTGGAGCTATGACTCCTTTTGCGAGATTTGATCCGCGGTTTCGTTTCATGCATGAAGAGCCCAAACCGCAGCACAGTTATATCGGACTCATTGCTATCGCTATATTAAGCATGAGTGACCAGAAAATGGTATTAAGCGATATATATCAGCACATACTCGACAACTATCCCTACTTCAGAAACCGGGGGCCCGGTTGGAGAAACAGTATCCGACATAACCTATCACTGAACGACTGTTTTGTTAAATCCGGTCGCAGTGCTAATGGAAAAGGACATTATTGGGCTATACATCCGGCAAATTTGGACGACTTCAAGAAAGGAGACTTTAGACGCCGAAAAGCCCAGCGAAAGGTTCGAAAACATATGGGACTATCGGTTCCCGACGACGATGACAGTCCCAGTCCGACACCGCCACCAATGCCACCGACGGGTTTAGTCAATCCGTTTGGACACCACTCAGCAGCACTAATGGCATCGTCAGGATTTAGATTACATGCAAATCAAGCTATCTGTGCAAATGATATCAATATTTTCAATGATCTCCGCTTTTCTCTGCCAAACAAGTTATCGGCTAATCCAGACCTGAAGGCAATCGAAGACTGTCGCACTCATGAGGACAGCCTATTGCCATCCGTATCGCATACAAACATAAAAGCAATAAAACGACAGTTTGATGTCGAAAGCCTATTAGCTCCCGATTGTGATTCAACTGTCGACGACAACATCAATCGTATCGTATCGGAAAACAAGTCGTCGTCAAACAACTCGGTTGAATGCATTGAACAGTTGGATGACAACAACCGGCGAAGTACTACACCACCATCGATGGGATCGCAAAACGATTTTATTATCAACAAAACAATCGACAGTTACGACAGCAACAGCTCGTCGCCGTCGATCTCGTCGACCGCCGAACGCCATCATTCGCCACCAATGATTCATCCGAGACAACCGATTATACCGACACTGTCGCCGGGATCGTGGCGTGCGGCCCAACTTCAGTCGCTGCAAAACTTACATCAGATGAACGCCGGTCTAATCAACCAATCGCTACAATCGGTAGGTCCCGGAGCGGCCTTCCCTGTCAACCTGCCGTGGGCCATGTCGGCCGCCGCACTGTCCAACGCCCAAATGGCAGCCACTATACTCGGCTACGCGTCGGTCGCTAACCAAGCGTTTGATTTGACATCGGATGCAAATAAACGATAATTTTTATTTTATAGTTATATTATATTTCGGTAAATATTTAATACACACTTTAGATAAATAGATGACTATAAATGATAGACATTGTGTTAGTTCTTTATTAGACTATTAATGATATTATTATAGGTTTTATTTTATCTGATTTAGTATAATATATGTAATCGTAATTTAATATGATTTCTAGATAGAGATAACAAAATGTATATTAACTTAGTATTATATAGTAATATGTAAACGTTTAATTCTGCTAATAATAAAATAGCTAAAAAAGTTTTTAACAGTTATTACTATTATATAATAAAACAAATTATAATATAAATTATATATTCATTTATATAATATAATAAAATTTATAATATAACATTACATTACATTAATTTAAAGTAAATATAATTAAAATATATAGTAATATTAACTATTATTATAATAGAATTAACAAGCAGCTTATGTACAGTAATTATTGAAAATGTTAATTAGCAATGTATAATAAATTGAGTTTAAATTATGATTAAATTGTTTCAATAATGACAATAAATGATATTTGTTGTACAAAAAATAAAATCATATATAAATTAATACAAAACTTGAAAGTTAAATACAATAATAGACTAAAACTTACAAACTGTGTGGAAATAAATCTATTGATTTTACATTTCAATTGCTTGTATGTTATCTCAATTAGATATTCTAACAAAAACATGCTTTTATGATTTAAATTATATATAAATATCCCGTATATATATATGTTAGGCATAGAAATAAATAGCTCACTCATGTTATCAGTAATTGATTGGCAATGGAGAGGGCACTCGGATGTGTGAATGTGTGGATCAATTTGCACCTCCAGTTACTATCGGTAATAATGAATAGGGTGTCATATAACATCTCTCTCTCTCTCTCTCTCTCTCTCTCTCTCTCTCTCTCTCTCTCTCTCTCTTTCACTGTTCCCGAGCGGCGACTTATTTACTAATAAATATTACACTCATTTGTGTGCCTCTCATATTGTATAATAGATTCACAATTTGCCGAACCATTTGAGTGCTATTTTTTATAGTGTACTGTATAGCCAACCTAACAGTGCTCACAGCGATTACTATTGCAGGTCGGGTACAAGTGTTGTCTATGGATTGGGCTGACTATACAGTACTATATTTATATGTAAAAGTGAGCCAATTTGTGTCTGAAATAGCACTGAGAGTTAGCTGAGGCAACAGCTAATTCACATTCAATTCAAGTATATATATATATATATATATAATATTTTTAGTTATACAGTATGAGAGGCCACAGGCTTTAGTTATATACAGTATATATAAATTTACAGTAAATAATTTATATATACATTATGATGACTGTGCTTTACAACGGATGTTAGGGATGTTAGATCAACACTTACCGGTGATGGTGTTGATGATGAGCTTATGTATATAAATACTAGTGTATATACTGTGTGTGTATATATATATAAGCCTTAAGAGGCAATCAATGGCCCTAAAATTGTGTGACATTTGATCGCACTAACTATTTATATGAATTAAATTAAATGGTGAGCTTTATATAAAAATTTTATTGTAACAACACTACTGTATTAATAATAAGGCATAGGTTTTGAATACTGTATAAATGTAAGAATAATTTACATATCTGTTCCCCTAAATAGAGATCCCATTTCCACTCTCTCTCTCTCTCTCTCTCTCTCTCTCTCTCTCTCTCTCTCTCTCTCTCTCTCTCTCTCTCTCTCTCTCTCTCTCTCTCTCTCTCTCTCTCTCTCTCTCTCTCTCTCTCTCTCTCTCTCTCTCTCTCTCTCTCTCTCTCTCTCAGTCACCCATGAGATGCATATAATTATTATTCATTGGCTTTTAAATAATTGACTCGTTTTAATAGGTCTTTCACTTTCTCTAACTTTCTCTCTTTTATAGTAATTTTCAACTAATATAAATCGTATATTGAGATTATAATTGAATATTATATGTAAATTTTTTTTGAGAGACTATTTGAAAATAAAATTATAAAATTGTCACAAATGATTCACTTTTTTGTGTCATACATAAGAAAAACAGATTTTTTTTTTGTTATAAATAAATTGTTATTTACTGTATATGTTATTATAATAATAAAAACTTTTTAAAAATAATTTTCCAAACTGTTATACTATGTATTTCAAGTAAATACTGTATATAATATATATTTCATCTAAACGTCAGAAAACATTTTTTGTTAAAGCATTACATATTTGCATATGTATTAGTGTCGCTTATATTATATTGTATACTATGAATTGTATGATTAAAAAGTAAATTGTATCGGAATTGAAAACTTTTTATTTTATTTTTTGTGTGTTGAAAACCAATTTTTTCAATACATTTATTTAAAATGCTGAACAAAACACCACTCTATATATAAATGTGTGTATGTGTGAACTCAAATATTGTTATAAAATAACTCCCAAAACAATTTCAAGTGTGTGTGTGTGTGTGTGTGTGGATATATATTTATAAAAGAGTAGCAAATGATTGTAATGTATGACTGTATGATTGTATGATTTTCTTTGTCATCCACGACTACTACTACTATTATAGTCTATAACACATTATGGCCTCAGGGGTGATGTAAAAGGTGTCGTGAAATAAGTTGTGTGTTTCACACAATTTGTTTGCTACACATCAAGGCGTTCCTTCAAATAAACTGATAATAATGTATACATTTAAATGTTATGTTGTGTTAGTCCATTACAATAAAGCAATAGCAAGACATATGTATATAAATGTATTGTATTTATAATGGTATATAAATTTATATATATATATATATATATATATATACTTTATATGTATATGTGTGGACACTCGGCATACTCGGGCAACAATTGAGAGGACACACACTTTACTACTTGTTTTATTCTCTCTCTCTCTCTCTCTCTCTCTCTCTCTCTCTCTCTCTTTAATAGAATATTCTTGACAAAGAAATAAAAACTATTGTAGAGTTATATTAACATTATATGCATCGATAACTTTATTTAGTAAATATCATTGACTGCTTTCTACAATACATATTATAACATAAATATATATGCCGTATATACCGTAAATTTATAACCTATTACTACCATTATTTCCACCACTCAATGCACTAGTATAGCAGTACATACTGTATTATAGTTATTTATATATGTAATATATAGTTAAATATAATATAGTGATCATATATATAGTGTACTTCAGACTCTTTATTTTATTGATGTGTTTTACATATATAGTGACTATTATAGCTAAGCACTAGTCGTTTTTTATTAGGAGAGATCGAGTAAGTGCCAAGAGGTTGGTGTGTCGGCAAATCACACAATTTAGTCATTCAAAGGGAACGTATATCTAAATGAATGTTCACTTAGAGCTACAATTGGTTTATATTTTTGGCCGATAAAATTTTTTTTGTTGATAACTCATGAAATTTCTGAGCATTTATTTTGTTGTTAAATACAGGAAAGCAATAAAATATTACATAACTATAGATAATATCATTTTATATATAAAGTATATTGTGATGCCTTTTGCGTTTGCCAACAGTATATAAAAATACTACTATTATATATCATCTTTTTAATACACATATGGTATGTTATATAACAGTATATATATATATACAGAATATATACAGTATATATAGTTATACAATAAATAAAAAATATATTTTTGTTGTGTTTAGCATCCAATGTTATGTTGCAATAATAAACTATACAAAACACTACCCAAAGGCTAATTTATTGTATAGTTGTTTGTATTGAAAGCTATAGAGAAAGCCTATGTGTCTGTGTGTGTATGTATGTATGTATGTATGTATGTATGTATGTATGTGTGTGTGTGTGTGTGTGTGTGTGTGTGTGTGTGTGTGTGTGTGTGTGTGTGTGTGTGTGTGTGTGTGTGTAATGCCTTCAAACCATTACATGAATTATTTTAAGGGTATATATAAAGTCCGCCAACAATTACCAATCTTTTTGAATCTCTAGTGAACTACAGTACTGTACAGTACAGTATGGGGGGAACTGTATGTTTTCAGCGCCGGAATCTAGTTTTCAGTACATTATTTAGCAAATGTGCTGTTAAGCCAACATTTGACAGGTTATATACAGTATATAATGCAACTTTTATTTATCAGTTTTGATGAAAAATGTGATACATATATGAAAATATAATTAAAAGCAAAATGTTGTCGAAATGTTGACAACAAATTTTGCTTTCAATATGTCTAATAATAAGCACAAAAATATTGCCCGAAAAATACATTAAATTTTTGTGTAAGCGTTGAACAAAATATGATTATTACACGCAATAATATCATCAAAACATATATAACTTTTATGTATTATTATTATTTCCTTTTATCTTATTTATCAATTCAATTGCAATCACTGTTTACTCTGATTTTAACAATTATCTCTTAAAACAAATAATAAATTATAACAACTGTTGTGTTTTGTTTTTAATGCTATAGTAACTATTTAACAATCAGTAAAATATACTGTATATACGGTACAGTATATGTATAAATATATTGATTTAACTATAATTATTGTTTAAACAATGATTTGCTTACTATATTTTAGTTGATTGTTAAATATAAATTATTTTTATAAAATAGTAAATACATTATAAAGTTTAATATTTATATTGTGTATTAGTGACAGGCATTTGTACTCAACAAACACATAAATACTTAAGTAAATAAATACAGATAAAAGGATTAATATTAAACATAGAAACATTTATATCAAATTTTAATATTAGTATTAAATAAAATGTATTATAATTTTTGATAAAAGCAAATATTAAAATTATTTTTGTTGTAATAGTAATAGTAATAGTAATAGTAATAGTAATAGTAATAGTAATAGTAATAGTAATAGTAATAGTAATAATAGTAATAATAGTAATAATAGTAATAATAGTAAAAATAGTAATAGTAATAGTAATAGTAATAGTAATAGTAATAGTAATAGTAATAGTAATAGTAATAGTAATAGTAATAATAATAATAGTAATAATAGTAATAATAGTAATAATAGTAATAATAGTAATAATAATAATAGTAATAATAGTAATAGTAATAGTAATAATAGTAATAGTAATAGTAATAGTAATAGTAATAGTAATAATAGTAATAATAGTAATAATAGTAATAGTAATAGTAATAGTAATAGTAATAATAGTAATAATAGTAATAGTAATAGTAATAGTAATAGTAATAGTAATAGTAATAGTAATAGTAATAGTAATAGTAATAGTAATAGTAATAGTAATAGTAATAGTAATAGTAATAGTAATAGTAATAGTGATAGTAATAGTAATAGTAATAGTAATAGTAATAGTAATAGTAATAGTAATAGTAATAGTAATAGTAATAGTAATAGTAATAGTAATAGTAAAGTTTAGTGCATATAAAAATAAATCTTTGAAAAAAATAAATTTTTGTATACTTAAAATTTACATGTATTGTATATATTGAAATAAATAATTTTGTTATAACTTGAGTACTTTGCCTGTCTGTATTGTGTATATATACAGTATAAGTATAATTTTATAAGTTAAATATTATTAGTAATAGTTTGGATACAATCTAGTGATATTTGATAAAAAAATATTACTAAATAATACTATAAGTACTGTACATTAACTCAATATAATTATTTGCAAATAAATTGTAATAACTGATTATAATTGTGTGTACCTAATAGTAATATACTAACAAAATTTTAATAATCAATAGTGTAGAAAATGTATAAATAAATATCCACAAAAAATATTGATCATCAATTGGATCTCAAATAGCGAAGTAGTTATCTATTATTATTATGATCATCATTGACATAGTTGTTATGCAACCTATTAACTGAACAGATAGATAAATATATCAATAAAAGACAAGTGATACGGCAAAAGGCAATCCCTGTTATATACAATACAGTAAATTACTGTACGGTATGTATATAAGCATTGAAATCATTTGTTTGAGTGTTTCAGTGGATAAAATAGTTTCTCTCATTATTGAAAGGAAACGGCGTTTTCGGAAACAAACGGAAACTTATCGACAAAAAAGGGCACACAATGTATATATACATATCGTATGTGCACTCTCTCTCTCTCTCTCTCTCTCTCTCTCTCTCTATATATATATATATATATATATATATATATATATATATATATATATATAAAAGGTATATAAAAGCAGAGACCTATCGACATGTAGTCATCCAAATGATGACAGAGAGAGAGAGAGAGAGAGAGAGAGAGAGAGAGAGAGAGAGAGAGCTGATGCCACCGATATATTTGACTATTTATATGTTGAGATGACACACAAGTACTCTAGAGTAGCGGATGATTGCTATGTTAAGCGCATCTCAATTGTGCACTCATTTGTGTTTATTTTTTGGTGATTACCGATAATATCTGTATATAATATTGTTCACAATACCGGAACTTATCATTCAATTTATGCTTCAATTTATATATTATACAATATATATAATTATTACTGTACTACAGTATATACTTTATAATAACTATTGAATACAATGTTGAAATATATCAGTGCTCAACAAATATATTTTGTATAATGAGTCGGAAAAAGAAAAGGTTTTCTACAAAAAAAATTAATAGCAAATTTAATAATAAAATGAGATATATATATATATATAATATATTTTATTTAATAAATAGGCAACAATTTTGTAAAAAAATAATTAGTCTATTTGTTGTACAATTATTTAATGCAACATTGAATCTCAATTAATATTTTTTTCTATTATTTACTGTAAAATGATAATCTTATATAAAAATAAGTCTAATTATACTAAATTATTAGAAAAATACAATTGAATTTCTAGTAACAATTTTTTGAATACATATAAATTTATATTGCTATTAGTATGAAATTAATTGAAGTTCATATTGTATTGATAAAATAACTTAAATAACAAAGTAAATACAATATCTAAAATAACAATTATTTATATTATTAGTATTATTGATATTTACCCATAATTTAGAAATAAAGTTTACATTAACTATAAAAATCATTTTTATAATTATTTAGATAAAATTATATATTTATACGAAAAAAATAATCATGTTAATAATATGTTAACTAAAAAAATTTGTAACATTAGTTAGATTTTTGAAGTGGAGTGATATTATAATTTTTATAAATTAGTTTTACTAATATTATATCAACAACTACTGTATATAAAGTTGACAAATAATTTATTGATGATATCTTTATTTGATAAAAATTTACTAATGATTTACTTATTGACTAATACTTAGTGTTGTTTATTGTAATTAATTTTTGTTTTAAATTTCAAATAACTAATGATTTTTATTTTATTTTTTTTATTAATCTGTTAAACATTAAAGCCAACTAAAGGCATTATATTACATAATAAATACTGTACAACAAATATAACTTTAAATTATCTAATACTGTATTATTAATATATTATAATATTATAATATTTTACTAAATGTCCACTAATGCCCTCTTTGGCCAACATTTAAATAAGCTCTGTATTAGATTTATAGAAACTATATTTTAAATTATAAATTATAGTACTTAAGCAAATTAAATTAACATTTATAATTTACAATATAATTTACAAAGTGGTAATAGTTTTGAAAAATTTATTAAACATTTTTATAGACTTATCTAATAAATGCTAAATCAAATTAATGGTTATTTTATATATATTTTCGTATCGCAATTAAATTATTAAAAAATAGATTATCGATTAAGCGGTATTTTATTTTATTTTTTTAATTATTAAGGTAATTAACTAACGAGATATAAATAAATTGATTAATAATTTCTATATACTGTATATTTCTATTTTATAATAACTTGAAATAAAAATAACTTAAATATTGTAATATTATTAATAAACTAATACTTATAATATTACTGTATATAAATTCGTTAAAAACAAATAAAACAAATTATTAAATATTCGTAGAATTTAGTGATAATTTTAATTAAAACTAAATAATGACAACTAAGCGGTGATTTGAAAATAAGTATTAAATTATTATTCTTAATGGAATCGGGATATGAAATATATGAATGTTGTCAATGAATACCATAACCAAAGTGAAGATATTGTAATGAATTTCTGTGAACGAGTGCTGGAAATCGGAAGTTTTGAAGAAGTAGTTGTCGTATTGATAGATGTGCTATTGTCTGAAATGGTAGTGTTTGTTGTTGTTGTCACCGAATCGATAGATGTGCTGATGTCTGAAATGGTAGTGATAGTGGTTGGCGTCATCGACGTACCGATAGATGTAGTAATGGTGGCAATGGTGGTGGTTGTTGTTGTCGTCGTCGTCGTCATCGGTTTGGGACAATTGAAGAGTTGATAAACAAATCCGCGTTTGATTTCCATTAACTTTTCTCCGACATATGTCTTGTTTTGATGTCCATACTTAATGACATACTTGTCGTCGCTGAACTCAATTAGTTTAAATGAATAATAATTACCAACCATTTCGTATTCATCGCTTAGAAGAGCTGTTGCGTTGACGATCTCATTGTCCACACAATTGGAGCTGTCGTTTACTGGCAGATAGTTCCAGTCGATCTCCCGGCGCTTATCATAGTCAACATACTTGGCCTCCATTACGTGTCGCTTAAAATAAATCCTATTATTACCGCTATTTTCTTGACTCTTTGGTGGCTTCTCTACAAAAATTAAAAAACAACAAACTATGGTATTATTTTTAAAAAAATATATTTTAATACAATTATTATATTTTTAATAAAGTTTTATTCATTTATATTTTAATAAACCATTTTATTTGAATAGTTTTATCTTATTTACCCATATAATAGACAAACAGTCGCACAGGTAGTACATCGGGAAGTATTGGCAAAACCAGTATAGAGTGTATACGATCGACCAAATCTTGTTGCGGAAACTTAATAAACAGTGTCATTAAATTCATGGGATCGTCGCCCGGTCTGTATTTATAGATATTTGTTTTAATCTCTTTACGAAAATATAGATCCGGAAATACAGTGCCTTCGGGATCGTAAAGACCAAACAGCATACCGTGTATCATATCTATGCCATCCTCCTAAGTACGACACAATACAGTAATGATATGAAAATTAATAACTAATCATTTGTTAGACAAATACATACAAATGTGTGATTGATTGCCACAAGAACTCTCTGTTTGCCATCAATTTTAGATCCGAAGTTTTCATCGGTTCGTAACCAGAAAAAGTGTTTCATCCAAAACATGTCTCCTATTAGTAATGCTCTCCATTTGCCTAATTCTGTCAACTCATATATATTTTTAAACCCAACCGAACCTCCAGTTTCCAGTTGTGTTGTATCAAAATCTTCGATGAAATAATAACGTCTCTTATAGGCGAACGGGTCATCCGGTCGGACGGCGTTTCGGTCCTCCAACAGTAGTGTTAAACCTTTTTTGAATATAAAAGCTTCAAACACCCGGTAATTGCCCGACAAATCTTTGCATAAATTGTTGTTTGTGTCGGCACTGACCATACATACAATTAATTGCACAAAATATATCAACTGTAAAGTTGCTGTTGTGATCATTGTCTTAGTTTTGATCAACAAAATTAAGTCAAAAATCGACGATTAAATTGAATTTAATTTAATTCATTTAATTTGATCGGATTATAGCGTGATTTAACAAAATAAATTCAACAATTACTGGTAATACTATATATGCAATATATTATTATATTTTATATCAATAAAATACTAATGAATAAAAGAGTTTTAAAAAACTAATATATAAAATTTATGTATAAATATGTAATAAATTAATGAATTATTACAATCATTCATAAAATTTAGTGGTATTTATAATTAAAATTAAATAATGACAACTAAGTAATGTTTGAAAGTAAGTAAACAAAAATTATGATCGTTATTGGGAACGGGATATTAAATATATGAATGTCGTCAATGAATACCACAACCAAAGCGAAGATAGCATTAAAATTTCCGGTGAATGAGTGCTTGAAACCGGAGGTTTTGAAGTAGTCATCGCTGTACCGATAGATGTATCGGTAGCGGTGGTTAGCGTCGACGGTTCAGAACAATTGAACAGTTGATAAATAGATCCGCGTTTGACTTCATTTAACTTTTCGGAAACGTATGTCTCGTTTAATTGTCCTGTTTTAATGACAAACTCAATGTCGCGAAACTCAATCAGTTTAAAAACATACTGATTGTCAACTTTCGTGTATTCTTCGCTGAGAAGTGCCGTTGCGTTGACGATCTCATTGTCCACACATTTGGCGCTATCATTGACTGGCAGATAGTTCCAGTCGATCTCCCGGCGCGTCTCATAATCAATATACGTGGCCTGCATTACGTGTCGCTTAAAGTAAAAGCTATTATCGCTACTATTTTCTTGATTTGATTTCCGGATATTCTCTGATATAATTCAAACAAAAAAAAACAATAAAGTATTATTCATTTTTTATTTTAATAAATCATATTATTTGTATAGTTTTATCCTATTTACCCATATAATAGAAAAACAGTCGCACAGGTAGTACATCGGGAAGTACTGGCAAAACCAGTATAGAGTGTATACGATCGACCAAATCTTGTTGCGGAAACTTAATAAACAGTGTCATCAAATTCATGGGATCGTCGCCCGGTATGTACTTATAGATGTCTGTCCTAATCCGTCTACAAATATTTAACGCATTAATTATTGTAGTTTCACGCGCGCTGTTATAACCGTTTTTAACATTATAATCGGTTATAACAAATGCAGTACTATTTTATTATTTTTGGTTAGGTTAGGGTGGGTGTGTGTGTGTGGAGGGTTTAGTAAGTAGTGTGTGGGGATGGAAGTAACGGGTGGTGAGAGCTAGTGTCTTATATTATCTAAAACTTGTATAACTTTTAAAACTAAAACAACAAATGCTTTACAATTACCGAATCACTTCCAAATCCGGATATTCAGTATCATTGGAATCCTTAAGACGAAACAGTAAACCTTTTATCATATCCAAGCCGTACTCCTAAATAGGACACAAAGACAACAATAATAAAATGACAATTAATTTATTATACATTCATTAGATATATAACATTACATACTATAGTGTTATTGACTGCCACAAGAACTCTCTGTTTGCCATCAATTTTAGATCCGAAGTTTTCATCGGTTCGTAACCAGAAAAAGTGTTTCATCCAAAACATGTCTCCTATTAGTAATGCTCTCCATTTGCCTAATTCTGTTAACTCATATATATTTTTAAATCCAACCGAACCTCCAGTTTCCAGTTGTGTTGTATCAAAATCTTCGATAAAATAATAACGTCTCTTATAGGCGAACGGGTCGTCCGGTCGGACAGCGTTTCGGTCCTCCAACAGTAGTGTTAAACCTTTTTTGAATATAAAAGCTTCAAATACCCGGTAATTGCCCGACAAATCTTTGCACAAATTGTTGTTTGTGTCGGCACTGACCATACATACAATTAATTGCACAAAATATATCAACTGTAAAGTTGCTGTTGTGATCATTGTCTTAAATTTGATTAACAAAATTAAGTCAAATAACAGTTAAAAAATCAAAATTCTTTACTTTATAAACAAATTATATCGTAATATTTATATTTAATTTTAGTTTAAATTAATTTAAAAAATTGTTTAAAAATGAAATAATTTTAATTGAAATCATTCAAATTGATGGATAAGCTCGTTATTTAAAAAAAATTTATTATATTAAAAGAACTAATTTATACCCATTTTTCAAAACCTATAGATTTTACGCGCGCTGTTTAACTTTTTGTGTAAAATTTTACTTTAAATCATATTTTAATTATTATTAGATTTGATTCAATAAAATGATATTAATATTAATCAATTTTTTTGATAAACAGTATAATGTAATAGTAGCTAAGTTACAGTATAATGAATTAAATTATTAGATAATCATAGAATTTAGTTGTATTTGTAATTATGTCTAAATAAATGATAATAAGCGGTGTTTTAAAAATAAGTAGAAAAAAATGTGATCCTTATTGTTATCGGTATATCAAGTATATGAATGTCGTCAATGAGATCCATAACCAGAGTGACGACAACTTAAAGATTTCGGCTCGATATGGGTCGGGTATCAAAAAACACTATATTGGTGGGAATGTTGGACGCGGGGGCGGGTGTGCCGGACAATTGAACAGTTGATAAACAAATCCGCGTTTGATTTCCATTAACGTATTTCCGACATATGTCTTGTTTTGGTGTCCATACTTAATGACAAACTTGTCGTCGCGGAACTCAATCAGTTTAAATGAATACTGATTTCCAACCTTTTCGTATTCATCGCTGAGAAGAGCCGTTGCGTTGACGATCTCATTGTCCACACAATTGGAGCTGTCGTTTACTGGCAGATAGTTCCAGTCGATCTCCCGGCGCGTCCCATAGTCAACATACTTGGCCTCCATTACGTGTCGCTTAAATAGTTTCATATTTTTCATTAGTTCGCATCCAAAACAAGTGTTTCATCCAAAACAAGTTATTACCGATTAATCGCTTTCTCCATATGTTTTTCTCTGCCAACTCATACATCTTTGTAAACCTAACCAGACCTCCAGTTTCCAGTTGTGATGTATCCAAGTCTTCGATATAATAATAGTATTTCTTATTACTGAACGGATCTAAAATATGTTTTCACTAAACAGACTGTATTAACAATTTGTTAATAATTTTTTACAAACATTTCAATCAATAATTTTTTTTTATTAAACTATTTCTAATTAGTTAACATAACTTAAAACTTTGCTGTAATTCATATAAAAAAATTTAATATTAATTGAATCGACAATTAGTTTAAATATAATTGTTGTGAAACAAAGTCTGGTTTCAAGTCTTGAATCGGAGGAATAGCTTTGCGATGACTTTTCTCTTCTTTTGTCTCCATTGTGTCCATCGATGATGTCTTCATTGATGATGTGTTGCGAGTGTTTGAGTCAAACAAAGTGTTGCAGTGATTGAGTGATGGAGTGAACAGATAGTTAACCGATGGGTAGAGACAGACAGCAAACATCACAATTGAGACCAATATCTGTGTCGGGATTGCGAGCGACCAATACTTGCGCTCAAAATAAGTCAAACCTATGCTTTGAAACACTTGTGTTGTGATTATGGCGTACAAGAAGTACAACAAAAACATCAAAATTGAGACCAAAAACAATACAAAACCATAAATACAACGACCGGTGTTTGGACTCGGATTCGGTGAACGCGAGTCCCCGTTCTGGCCGTTCGGATGACCACTGCTTGTATCGGATGTCGGCAACCAATCACTCATTGTTTGCTTTGTCTTCGGCTTTATCTTTGATGTCAAACTTGTCTATCGTTTCAATGATTAAGTCCAACGACTGAAGCAATGATTTGACACAAACTCTCAATCGTTTCAATCGATTGCTCTTCACTTCAATTGTCAGTAAATTGTTGTCAACTTTGATATGTTTGTCGACAATCACACCATCACTTCGGACTTCTTTGTCGACAATCAATGTCTTGTAGGCAATGGTTGCCTGTCTTTGAGTGTCAAACACAACACTCACCACCACTTCATTCAGTGTTTCATCACTTGATGTCAACATTCAGACAATAAAAATCAAATGTCATTCAAAACTTATTTAACAAATAAATGATTCAATTGTTTGTTTAAAATATAATAATAATTGATTAATAGATTGAAAAACAATTCAATTAATTGATTGCTATTTAAACTATTATTTAACGGTTAATATAGTAATCAATTGAAACACAAATGCAATGCAATGTTGTGTTGGGTTTTCAAAACCAAACAACACATGAATTACTTATAATGTATTAATACATATGTCATGACATCTAATGATAGCATTTGTTGTTAAAAAAAAAGTTTTAAACTAAAAAATGTTTTAAAATTCAGATTATATTTGAATAATAAGTAGTTAACAATAATAACTAATTTAATTAAATGTATTAATCGATAGTTTGCTAATTATTTAGTGATCTGTTTTATAGTCTAAACACATTTCTGACAGTTTCGCCAAATGTTTTGTTCAATATTAATAAACTTCAATTTAATATAAAATTTAATATATAAAATAGTTAATTAATTTAATTCATTGAATTTAGTGATAATTGTAATTAAAACTTAATAATGACAACTAAGCGGTGATTTTTAAAAAATAAATAACAACAAAAATTGTGATCATTATTGGGATCGGGATATCAAATATATGAATGTTGTCAATGAGATCCATAACCAAAGTGACGATAGATTAAAGATTACCGGTCAACGAGTGGTCGATATGTGTCGGGTAATAGTTGTCGTATTCATAAGTGGTATATCCTTAAAGGTCGACTGGGAGCTGACTGATGATCGTTATCAATGGTAATACCCCCACAATTTACCATTTTCTTTGCTTAAACTTTTGTTTAGATATATTTATAGTAATATTAATTTATACTTTATTAGATATTTTTCAAATTCTTTCAAAACTATTATTTATTTATTATTTTTTATTATTTGGCAAAACTTTTACCTGTATATTAATACTTAATAAATATTTTACAAATAACTTATAACACTATAATACTTAGTAAACCTATTGTTACACAGAGACCACTACTAACATCATTAAGTTAACTTATATTTGTATTATGTATTGTACGGTACAGTTACTGTACAGTATATTAGTATATGATCCGGTAAAGTATTGTATTATTTTTATTATTACATTTTAACAAAATTATGATTTAATATTTAATAATCACTTTATAATTTTCTCAATATTTTATATTATTCGTTTAATTAAACATCCATTGATTTAATATTAACAATTATAGATATATTATAGATTATTAATTAAATTTAAATTATATATAGATTATGTAATGCAAGTTAAATATAAAATAAATCTTTATTTAATACCTTATTTAATTGTTTTTTAAAATTTGTAAGTAATAATTAATGATTTACACAAATTTAACGTACAAAACATGTTTAATATTATATACTGTATATATATATATATATAATTATATTTATTATATTATATATTTATATTTAATTATATAGTACTTGACTATACAATTCATTATAAATACATTTTTTAATTATTTGTTGTTTAAATATTGGTATACAATTTATTATCTTTAAAAATCTGATTTTATATACAGTTAAATATCTAAAAAATAACTAAAAGTAACTAAAATAATATATAAATTTTACTAAAATTTGTTTTAATTCAATTTAGAATAAAATTGTTTAATTTATAGGTACTTCAAACAAATATAAATTAAAATATTTTCCAATTGATTTTTTAGTTAATTTACAAAATAATTAAATCTATCCTAGGTTATTTTTTATTAATCAATCTAACAAACACATACACATACACACACACACTCACTTATAAAAGTAGATATCATTGAAAAAAAATATATAAATAACTTATTAAATATTAATGGTTGAAACAAAAAACAGAAAACTAGTAAAAAAATATCAAAGCAATGGTACAATCATTTGTAATGTCATATCTATGAGGGTTTAAATTATTGATGATATCAACCAATTTCACGTTTTTTCAAAATTGTTATTTTCTTGAAGACATTTACTAAATTGTTTTGTCATTATTTTATTTTTTGTTGTAGTTAATCTAAAAGCAAAATGATATTAAATTATATTTTTCTTATACAGTATATATATATATACTATATATACACAGAATATATAGAAAATATTATTGTAAATATAAAACATTGGTTTTTTCTTAAAGTAATCACATGTATGTGATGAAACAAAACTAAAAAACATTTTAATTTAATTAATTAGTTTCTTATTAATATAAAAATAATAAATTATTATTTGCTTAGTTAACGTTGTTTAAATAATTTCTCATTTTTAAGTCCTAATAATAATTCAATATTATATATCAATATTTGATAATAATCAAATTTTGACAATTAGTTTTTTATGTGTGGATGTAATTTCAATCATTGATTTGAAATATTTGATTGATTTATAAATGCAAAATACCCATAATATTGTAATCAAAGTTTGGTTAGGTATCAAAATATGGGTGTGCGATATTTACAGAATATACAGTATATATATATATATATATATATATTTAAATAAATTTTATACAATACTTGTTACAACAATATAAAGTTTAAATACTATTTTATATATGCATTTATCTTAATTATAAAGCACAGTTTTTTACATTGATTTTATCAATACATTACAGTAAATAATATTTAAGCTTATAAGAAAAAATAAATAAAAACAATTTGCTTTTGTATTTAAATATACTAATATAACAATTATTAAAACTATTGTTTCTGTAAATTTAATTAATAATAATAATAATAATTAGAAAAACGAGATAAAAGAGTTGAGTTGTCGACCACTTGTCTGTATTTGCTGTGGTTTTGTTACGATTTGAAGAAAACTAAATTTTTTTATTTGATGACTAATTTATGTACAGTAATGGTATCTTCAAATAGATTGTTATATCACATAATATGTAATGTACCTTATGATACTGGCATATATTGGTGTGATAGGCATAGTCAGTGAGTGTGTGTGTGTGTGTGTGTGTGAGAGAGAGAGAGAGAGAGAGAGAGAGAGAGAGACTAATCAAATAAAAGTGAAAAGAAGTGTAATAAACATTATATGGTTTGTGTATGAACTCGATATACAATATTAGAGATGAGAGACTAAATGGCAGACATTATATGATAACACAGAATCTCACACATCACACACACACACACACACACATACATATTGTACTTACTGTGCTGTACTGTACTGTACATACACTTTTACATACAGGAGCGTTTCGCAATTGACTAAGAGGACAATTTATAACAACATGTAAGCGGTCTCTGCAATAGTCAGTTAAAAAGTTCATAAATCTGTATTAGCGGCACATTTGGGGGCTTTCACTGTTGCCGGTGTCTCTTAAAACTATATATTTATTTAATATACAATATACTACTACTACTACTACTACTACTACTACTACTACTACTACTACTACTACTACTACTACGATTACTACAGTATAAATATATGACTGTTTCTTTTTAAACTTTACTTATGGATTAAATTTTGATAATTTTTTTTTCAAAATAAAAAAAACTATTTACACATTCTTTAGTATGACTTCTTTCATTACACACAATACACAGAATCTACAGAATCTAACAATTTTTATGCATTAAATTCTTTGCTCTTTTAGAGACTATTATATAATAATATGGATTATTGTTGTCTACAATATATATACTTATAGTTTGCTGTTTTCCAAATAATAGCTGTATGTATGTGTACTACACTGTATGTGTAATCAATAATAACAGTGCCTTAATAGAGAGTTGACTTTATATAAATTATATAAATTTTCTTATATATATTAAAAATTTTGTTTAAGTAAAAGGGGCACAAAATTAATAAATAAAACCTAATGTTGTAATGTATAAATGTATGTATATAAATTTGTGTGTGTGTGTGTGTGTGTGTGTGTGTGTGTGTGTATGAAAAATGAGTTAATATATGGAAAATAAGTATAAATATAGTAAATTATGTATTGCATGAATGCATTTAATTCAATCAAATAGCCATTTGGTGTTTGGGTGGAAAAAGATGACAAACTATTTGTAGATTGAATTGTTTTTGAGAGCATTTGGTGTCGCATTTTAGATAAGACATGATATCCACTCAAATATCATATCGTATAATCTCTCTCTCTCTCTCTCTCTCTCTCTCTCTCTCACTCACACACACACACACTTCCTCTCTATCTTTATCTAACAGTTTGCTATACAGTTATATCAATAGTAATAAGTGAAGAGCACTTGTAATATCAATATTATATATACAGTATATATATATAGCCAGAGATGATTGGGTCGGAGCATAGCATAACATTTTGCAATGCATTTGTCTTTTAGCAGAGCCTTAATTCATGTATTATTCATTACTTCTTTATTAGAGTCGGTATATCATGTGTTCATAAGAGAGACGCTTTTCCCTGCAGTCAGAAGGAGAAGGAGAGAGAGAGAGAGAGAGAGAGAGAGAGAGAGAGAGAGAGAGAGAGAGATGGCTCTAATCAGATCAGTTGTTTGGATGCACTTATATGTGACCGCATATAACACTCCGGCAATCACTGGAAAAGGCTCTCAAATGTTCAGAGAAAGCCATTATTATAAGGTGTGATGCGTTTGCATTAGCATTACATACACTTATATTATATATTATATATACATTGGTCTACAGTTTCCACAATAACTTATTTCAGTTATGGAAGTGTTTGGATAAAACTTTTGTACAAATGAATCCAATTCACTGGATATATATGACCTGTAATATGCCTGTGCTCTTACACATACATCACATATACTAACATTTACACCACACACACACACATTTTCCATAAGCACTAGTAGTATCTTTTAGAGAGTTCATGTTTGCTGATATGTATATGTGTGTATGTGATTGTATGAGTTCCTCAAAAGCTATTACTAGATGATGGAGAGGACAACGGGAGAGAGTAGTGTCTAAAAAAAATTACTTAAAGAAAGACTGAATCAATCCTTCATTTTATTTACTTTTCTCCTAACTATTCATTGCATTTACTGTTAGTTTATATATTTTTTTGTGAAAAAAATAAAAGTAATTTTTGCTGCACTTTAGTCCTCACAAAGTCTCTCTCTCTCTCTCTCTCTCTCTCTCTCTCTCTCTCTCTCTCTCTCTCACTCACTCACTCACTCACTCACTCACTCACTCACTTTTATTCACTATTGAGAGCCAACAATAAAT